CCCTCTAGATTATGAAATCATTTGTTATGCAACCAGCAACACAATCTTCACAAGGTGCTTATTGTCATGTTTCTCCAGTGACAACTCTTCCATTATTTCAGCAGGTGTTGTGTTGCTAGTTGGTGTTCTTTTCAAAGTTATTCCCCAAGCTTTTTCTAGGGAACAGGTAAATTTGATATGATGCTTCAGCGGAGCTTATATATATTCCTCCAACTAGGCATTAGTATGCCGAGAACAGCTTTACGGCATTAAAAAATGATTGTGTGGATCCAATTCTTAGTTTCTCTCTTTCATTTTCCCCGGTGATACTACATAGAAAGAATAAACAGCTGACTAGATGTATACCTATGCCACAGTTGGGCACAGTTGGGCACATCTGGTCCCATGTCCTACAATATGTCACAGATAAAGATCAGGGTGCCCCTGTAACACCCCATTGTCAGACCCAGAACCCCCTTTACATATTCCTTAAGAGCTTTCCTCAACCCACAATTCTCTGCAGTGGGCTAGTGAGTAATAATAATAAAAAAAATTATTTATACCCCGCCCTCTCCAGCCAAGACCAGGCTCAGGGCAGCTAACACCAAATATAAAAACAATTGATTGAAATACAGCTTAAAAACAAGATTAAAATGCAACATTAAAACATTAAAACGCAACCTCATTTCAGGAGCTGCCTTACACTAAGCAAGATCATTGGTCTACACAGTTCTGCTTTTTTGCATGCAGAACCACTCCTCAGCATGGTGAGACGTCCTAGATAGGCAGTGCTTACTCGGGTTTGCTTTGCTTTATGATGACGAATCATTGGAGCATTCTAAACCTTCATTTACACCAGGATGGATGTGGTTCAGAGGTTCCCCCCTCCTCCATGGGTGGATGAACAGGTCAATTTGAGTTTCTCATTATTCCAGTCTTATGCTCAGTTCTCAATATCAGTTGGCATATTTTTTTAAAGTCCTCATGAAAATTAATTTTAGTGTGCAATACTCATAACACATATTTTTTATGTAATCTTCCCTAAAGATGCATGTTTTGGGAAGCAGTTCCCGCTATTGCAATGCATTTATTTTATTTTTATTTTTGCTTTCCCTCGCTTATATATGCATTTTTGTACACAATTGATTTAAGAACTGCACTACGGAATTTGGAGAACTGTGAATTCAGAACCATAGCTGCATTTCAGTTTGTGCACTGCTTTGGGAAAGTGTGACATAGATAGGTTTGCATTGCTCTCCCCCATCCCAAGCCTCTGCTCTGCCGCCACCAACAGAGTGACACTAATATCCACCCCTTGAATGCAATGGTGGGCAGGAGGCATGTTGGGGATATCCTTATCTATAGAGGTCAGGCGCCTGAAATGGGGCAAGGAGAGAGTGGGGCCAAGCCAGGCTGGGATCCACTAGATCCCAAGCCAGCCTGTCATTACCCAATGGTGCCATTACCCAGTGACATTGGACCCAATCCAAATTTGATCTCTGTAGTAGCTTGCAGTTGGTACAGGGATCAAGCCACATCACTCTTCCCTCATCTTTCATTATTGCCACTGTAAGCAGCTAAGCTGTGGGTGCAGGAACTGCATTGCATCATAATTTTGTAATAACTGGTTTTATTAACAAAGATGCAGGTTGAGCATTGCTGGAGGTGAACACCTAAAACACCCCAATGCCAAACCCTACTGCCCTGCAACAGATTTCCAAACAGGCACAACTTTCTAGCCCAAAAGCACTTCCCAGAACTCAGAACAAGCCCTCTCCCTCTTTCAAGGGGGATAGCAAAATGAAAGTGAAATGGGAAATGTAAGATGGATTTCAAACAGTCCACAACTTTTACTGAATATTGGGCTAACAAACTCAACCTGCCATAAGACTACAGCATGATAATGACCCTGTATAAACCTGGTGCATCGTTGGCATAGCAATAAGACACCCAGAGACGAAGCTTAACACTTGACTTCCCTCCAAGTTTGAGAGCTTGTGGAATTCTGTCAAATTAAAGTTTAAGCTCACTATTCAGTATAAATTACAGAGTGCAAAAATTAAAAAAAAATAGAAAACCCCTACCTGACCCTTGAAGAGTCCAAACATGTTCTGGATGTGTGCATAGTTAGCCATACTGATAAGTTTCAAGTTGCATGCATGTATTATGTTTATTGATAACTCATTTTTGAAGATCTAAGCTTAATATGCATAAAATGCTATGCAGAGGGGTTTGCATTAGGCAGGAGGTTTAACTATGGTAAATGCAGCAAGGAGAGTGTTTAGGGCTAACTCAACCCTGGAAACCTGAGCTGCACTCTGCCTGTCAGCAGGAAGATGAAACCTGAGAACTCAAGAGTCTTAGTCAGTAGTGGGAGCCAGCTGCATTAGGAGCAGGAAGGTTGTATAGGATCTCCCTTTGGGACCAGAGAGAAGAAAGCTATTGGATTGTATTAAGGACTAAAAAGAATGGATCACATTGCTAGTTTGCTAAAGTGTTGCTTTGTATTTTTGCAATGTTTTATTTTGTAACCAGTTTAAGAGATTAAAACAAACAAACAAACTGGAACTCATTCTTGTGATGGACTTTATTTCATTTCCACTCTGCACAAGGTCCAGATCAGGGATTCTGTTTGCAACACCTCTAACACTCACTTCTAGTTAAGCTGAATCTCAATTTGCCAGATTCCTCCCCCCTCTCAGTCCTAATGATTGTCCCTAAAAGAATATATACATCTAAAAAAAGCAACCCACAACACAATGAACACCCACTCCTAGAGCCAGTGTGGTGTAGTGGTTAAGAGTGGTGGACTCGTAATCTGGTGAACTGGGTTCGCTTCCCTGCTCCTCCACATGCAGCTGCTGGGTGACCTTGGGCCAGTCACACTTCTCTGAAGTCTCTCAGCCTCACTCACCTCACAGAGTGTTTGTTGTGGGGGAGGAAGGGAAAGGAGATTGTTAGCCGCTTTGAGGCTCCTTAGGGTAGTGATAAAGCAGGATATCAAATCCAAACTCCTCCCCTTCTTCTTCTTCTTCTTCTTCTTCTTCTTCTTCTTCTTCTTTCTTTCTTTCTTTCTTTCTTCTTCTTCTTCTTCTTCTTCTTCTTCTTCTTCTTCTTCTTCTCTCACATCTGAAAAAGTGACCTGCTGGTGAAGACATGAAAAACCTCAGCCACCAAGAGGCCACTAAATGACAGAGGAAAGTTCTTTCCCAGCCCTATGAGGAACCAGCAGCTGCCAAACAACCAAAAGGTCAGGTTTTCAGGGAGGAGAGGGGAGTAACAGTAATTTTGCTGGCAATGGCAGGAGAAATGTCCTTCATGAGCTTCAAGACCCCAAGAGAATCAGGGAGCCCTGACTGGCTGCGCTGCAGGCAAGGAATAGCTTAGCCAACCAATAAAAGGGTGACATCCCAAACTGGTGCTGAAAATCATGGCTGCCTTTCCGATCCTACCCACCCCAGTCTTCAACAGCTCCTCTGCCTGTCTGCACAAGTTGACAATATGGGAGTGTTGCTTGCCCGTTCAAAAAAACCTGCAGCATCTGTCCTGAAATGCTTCTGTTGGTTTCCACTCACAGCTGGCTGGTATATACGGGAAGGCCCTTAGTTCTTCCTCAGGGTGCCTCTGAATAAATACATTGGGCTCAATAGACATACTCGGAGCTACAGAACAGCTTTGGGCTCTCCCACCCACGGCAGCACCCTCATGCATTCCAGGAAGTGGACAAGCTCTGTGAGCAACCTCTTTTGCACAACCCTGCTTCCTCCACTAAAGTCAATGGGGAAGCCTAAAGCTGTATGGCTTGAAAATGTACATGGAAGTCTAGAACTGGGCTCCAGCCATGGGATGCTAGGATAGATTATATAGCTTTAAAAAGTCCAGAGAAATGAATAAGTGTGCATAGACTTCCCCAAAAGCGCTGGTAAATCTGCAGCTATTTTCCACTGCAAAGAAAAAGAATTAAATTGCTGTGATTTGTCTTCCTTTGGGTGCTCTATGGCAATACATTTTTAAGGGAGAAATGGAAATGTTGCATTGCCCAACGTTGGCCTGTACCTTAAAATTAATTATTGAGCAGTTACCATCAGTATACCATTATATGTGAGCAGCCTGACAGGCCCACTCTGAAATGTTAACCTTTGCAGGCATATGGCTCGGAAAGAAAATAGCTTCCCATGGCAGTTGTGAGATTCAGTCTGGTGACAGCATTCTTCCTTTAATCGATAGGAGAAGCAGAAAATCAAATATTACTGAAGGATGGTTAGCCCGGGTTCTCTGTATGTCTAGCAAATGCTTTTTCTTTTTTCATCCTGGGACTGGGTATGAGGCACTAACACAGAACTAAAAGTGGCATTTTTCATTTCAAGTGTATCCTGGAGTATCCTCCTTGTCTCTTCTCTCGCTCATTGCCAGGGCCGACAAGCATCATAAAGAGATGCTCCATCAAAACGGAGTCTGCAGGAGGATGAAAATGATGTTGTTGCTGAAGCAAATGCATCGTCTCAGAGGGCGCGCATGTCCATCATATTGAGGCTCGACAGTACATTGCAAGGTTAGAGATTCTAATGCATGCTGCTGCAGCAATACCATAAGTATCTCTGGTTGCACAAGGAATTGCTCTCTCACACAGATTTTGTTCCATTCTCTTGGATCGGACTGATGAGGGAAGACAGGTCCATATGCTGAAAAGCAGCACTTTTCATATGCTGAAAAGCAGCACTTAGATACAGGAAGGGGGAAGAAATTTGATTCTCTTCACCAGGCCCCTGTATAGGAGGGGAAGCTGGGTACACTTGCCCTGGGCCTCAGAGGACTAAGCCAGCCAGGGACCCCCACCAAGGGCCTGCCGGACTTACGCTGTTAGGCCAATAACACCCCATTCCTCCTGGGTGCCCTGGGCCTCAGACAAGCTCTTCACCTTTATATGAAAACCTACTGAATTGATAAGTACATAGGAAAAGCCTACTGCATCAGGTCAACGGCCCATCTAGTCCAGCATCCAGTTCTCACAGTGGCCAACCACATGCATAGCTCGGTCAATAGAGCATGAGACTCTTATTCTTAAGGTTGTGGGTTCGAGCCCCACATTGGGTGAAAGTTTCCTGCATTGCAGGGGGTTGGACTAGATGGTCCTTGCGGTTCTTCCAACTCAACAATTCTATGATTCTATGCCCATGGGAAATCTGCAAGCAAGACCTGAGCACAAGAGCACTCTTGCCTCCGGTGGTTTCCAGCAGCTGGCATTCAGAAGCATACTGCCTCCATCATCTTGGTAAGTAGCCATGGATAGACTTATCCTCTTTGAATTTTGATAAAGAAATTTGATGAAATATGCATTGTAGTAGTAGGCCCAGGGCAGAGGTCAACAATGCATAATAGAGCATTGAAAAGGTTTCAAACAAAACAGAACAATCACAACTAGAGTGGATCCTAAAAATATACAGTGGTACCTCAGGCTAAGTACTTAATTCGTTCCGGAGGTCTGTTCTTAACCTGAAACTGTTCTTAACCTGAAGCACCACTTTAGCTAATGGGGCCTCCTGCTGCCGCTGCGCCGCCAGAGCACGATTTCTGTTCTCATCCTGAAGCAAAGTTCTTAACCCGAGGTACTATTTCTGGGTTAGCGGAGTCTGTAATCTGAAGCGTATGTAACCCCTCCCCACGTAGGAGGTGTGGCAGCAGCCAGGAAAGGTTTCCCCTCCCTCATATGTGTTTACTCAGGAGTAAGCCTCGCTGTGCTCAGTAGAGAGCTCCTAGGTTTATGGGGGAGGCATGGCAGCCCTCCCCTCAAGGGCTGGATCCTGGAATGTTCAGCACCATTTCTCTCTCTCTGGACCCAAACCAGCCTTTTCTCCCGAGAAGCCAGCGCACAGGGCTTCTCTCTCTTGCCCAGCCTCTGTCTGCGTATGTCTCCACTCGCTTGCTTCTCCTTCTCCGAGAGAGAGAGGCCCTGTGTGATGGCTCCTCAGAGAAAGGGTTGTTGGGGGGGGGGGAGAGATCGACAGAAACAATCACATGATCTACAAGTTGATCCCAACGTGTTGGACAATGCTGATCTAGTCCAATGCAGGAATCTCAACTAAAGCATCCAAGAAAGGTGGTCACCCAGGGGTGGAGCAAGGCAGTGGCAAGGCCAGAGTGGTGCAACACACCTGCAGGAGCGACGGATTGGCTCTGATGGTGCATTTTCAACACACTGGCTTTGCCACAGCCAAGTCTCTGCCACTCTAAGTCATGAAAAACAGCAGCAATGCAATCAGCCAGAAGTCAGGGGAGCAGTGCCATGTCATCATGTCAACCGCTACTGATCCAGAACAACAGTCAGTCTCTAAGACTCCTTTTAACCAGATCTGGAGCGGGCGAGTGGGGTGGGGGATAGAATCTGAAAATAAATAAATGTAGCATTTCAAAAGCAGTTGGAAAACTGGTGGATGTGTGACTCATAATGGCGGCCCAGTTTCCTCAAAATCCATTTAAAGGAGACTGGTTCCTGCAAGGCTAGCTGAACAAGACATGCAGGAAATCAGTAGAATATTCTCCAGCACTTTAGATTATGGGGGGAAAGGCAAAGTGACAAAGGATTTCTAAAAATATCAGACCAAGTGGTGTAAATGTACATCTATGGCTGCAGCCTTATAGGAACCAGGGAATGCAAATGATTCAGGATACGTGCAACGTTCCTGAAATGCTCCTGGCAATAGAAACAACATTTCATAGATTATTGGTACAGTAACCTAGAGAGGACATATTTATTGGTGATACAAAATGAAAAATCTGCCCAGAACTCTGTGCTTATTGGAAGCTTGTCTCCTGGGCAAAGAAAAGAATTTGAAACCGCCTTGTTGAATCAATTTGTTCTGCTTCTCTCGGGATGCCTTCTTTATGAGTGTTTATGCTGCAGCTGTGCTTAGCTTCTCGGGGCAAGTTCAGACAAGATGCTATGAGACCCAATTGTGCTCTTTCTCACCTTCCTTATCCGCGATGCTGAAGCACTCAGCTTTCAGAAAGCACAAATGGATTGCTTCTGTCCTGCCCAGGCATGCAAAGGAGCAACTATTCTGGGACTGACATGGGGGGTCATTTCCACTTCCCCTCAGACAATCTCAGAAGTAAAGGGCCATCTGTAGGGTTGCCATATTTCCAGCAGTGAAAATCCAGAAGAAGCTGTTGAGCTCTTTTTTCTGGGGCAGGTGGGGGGCAAAGTTGTTGAGCTTCTTTTAGTTTTGGCCAAAGTTGTTGAGTATTTTGGGCAAAATCTAAAAAATAATAATGCTGTTTTTGAGCTATTGTTTTATGGGGAAATGGCAAAAATGGCACTGCTGACATCTGGATTTTTCTTGGACATTTGACCGATTTCCACCGGGACAATGCTACTGACCGGTATTCCGGATAAGTCCAGGAAAATACGGATGTATGGCAACCCTACATCTTATTTATTTATTTATTTATTTATACATACATACATATATACCCTGCCCATCCGGCTGGGTTTCCCTAGCCAGTTGAGGAGCTCCCAACATAATATGGAAAACATGATAAAACATCAGACATTGAAAACTTCCCTAAACAGGGCTGCCTTCAGATGTCTTCTAAAAGTCAGATAGTTGTTTATTTCCTTGACAAACCACTTGCACCTTGTTCAGAAGGGAAAGATTAAAGAAACCTTGTTGCACTCTGAGATCATGTGCATTATAAGAGCCAATTGGTTTATATCTTTTCTCAGTCCTAACTTACTTGAACTAGAAGCATGCAGCCCAAGAGCCCAGCTGGTGGCAGGAGCTGTTGGAAGTTGTGGACAGCTGCCCCATGTGGTAAGTCACTGAACTGCATGGGGCAGCTACCTACAGACCGTGGATGGTCTCCACCTGCCCAAGTTAACCATTGAATTCTTCTGGAAGGAGGGCTTTCTTTCCCAGTTAAGTCTTGCTTGAGCAGCAAGGAAGGTCCATTGCTCAGTGGCAGAGCATCTGCTGTGCATGCAGGAGGTCCCAGGTTCTATGTGGTTCTATGAAGCCTTATCACAGCCTTGCAGCCTTGTTCTTTGGCTCCTAGAATCATAGAATTGTAAAGTTGGAAGGGAGCATGTGGGTCATCTAGTCCATCTCCCTGCAACGCGGGAATCTTTTGCCCAATGTGGAGCTCAAACCCACAACTCTGAGATTAACAGTCTCATGCTCTACCGACTGAGCTATTGTAACTCAGACCTGACTTCTGGCTTTCTTCTCAACTACTGAATTGTTCTTTGGTTCTGACTTATCCTTTGATCTTGATTATTCGCTTGTCTCAAGGCTCCTATTTTTCCTGGCTCCCGGGTCATGTCTGATTGGTGCCTAGAGCCCAGTGTTGTCAACTTGTAAGTTCAAAGCCCACATGTTGGCTACAATTTGGCTACAATGCCTGGGGATTTTCAGTTTACACTCAGAAAAGTGACTAATGGAGGGCAGTGATATAGATTTATAAAATTATTCATTGTCTTGCTAATGACTAGAACTCAAGAACATCCAATGAAATTGATTGATAGGCAGTTCAGGGCAGACAGAAGGAAATACAAGCATACAGCGCATCTTTAATTTGTGGAGTTCGATGCTGCAAGACGTGGTGGTAGTAAACACTAGCTAAATGACTTTAAAAGCAGGTTGGACAAACTCATGAAGTGTAGAACAATCAATTGCTACTAGTTTGCTTATTTATTACCCTCACCTTCTTAAAAATATATATATATTAAGGTGGTAGGCAACATATAAGAATAAAATCAGCAAAAGCATCCACAAAAACATAATTAAAAAACACCAATAAAACATCAATAAATAACAATTTGGTGGGGGGTTTATTTAAAGAAAATTCATATTGCAAAGCCTTGTCTAAGCAATATAATTTTCAAGACACATGCCCAACCTCTACCAGCAAGGAGTTCCACAGGACAGGACCTGTCACACCAAAGGCTTGGTCCCCAGTGAAGACCAAATGAACCACCAGATATGCCTCATCAGAGAATCTCAGTGACTGAGGTTAAGTATCCTGCTAGTTAAGACAGTTATAATGACTTACAATGTCTCTCTGTACCTCCTGCAAGAAGCAAGAGCAGGTGAAGGGCTCCTGAGTCTAGCAGGTGGGCTTCCTCAAGGTTGGCCACTATAGGAAATGGAATTCTTGGTTAGGTGGTACATTGAGCTGATTCTGCAGGGCTCTCATGTTCCTACCTTATTGTACCTAGGTCCTCCTGTCTTTAGGCCTTGTGTTTAGATTTTCTCCAGTCCTGTTTTCTATGCACTTCCATTCCACATCTCCACCAACCATTGTTTTCTTGGGCGCTGGCTTTTCAGTTGTTACAGAAATGTCACTGCAACTTTGAACATTTTTTGAAAAATATCAGAATATGTTTATACTGCTGTTAGTAAAAAAATATTCTTCCCCACATTGTCAATATTTTTACAGCTAAAGGTAAAGTCTGATCCAAAGAAGCCTGAACACAGCCAAATGACAGCTCAAATCTTAATCCCATCACTCGATCCCAAACTAAGGTGACAATTCACATCAGTCCGAACCACTCCTCTGATCTCTGCTCCAACCATCAGTTCCACCAGTTGTGATTTTGCTATTGGGATGAACTGACCATTTATTGTGCCTCAATGCACAGTGCATCAGAACGGGGAATCTGTGGAGAACACCAGGAAATGAAACTAATGGGATGTTTTAGAGTATAGTTATTTTGATCTGCAGTGTATGAAAAGACTGATTTACAGTAAGGTACTTATTCACATAGGTTCAAGTTGATAGAATTTGAGGGCCGGTCAAATCCTGGCTTTGCGATTGTTTTCCCGCCTCCCTCTTTTATCGGCCCATAAAATAAAGGACTCTTCTTCTTTTTTTACCATGAAGATCTCTTGGTATGTAAGGGTTATTTTTGTTAACCTACTGAGTATCATCTGGATTGCCTACAGCACTGCTCTTTGAAACATGTAGTGTAGATGTCACAGCTGCTCCTGCTCTAAAAGGATATATGCACCCTGCTGAGATGAGAGTAAATATGTTCCTGGAAATACTGGGGGAGGGGTGTGTGCTCTGATCTATTTATCTGGTAGGTTTTTGTGACTCT